ATTTTAAAAGATAGTTCTAAACATAGAATAATATTATTCTTATTTTAGTCTTATGATAATTCTTATTTTATTTTACGGCAATGTTTTCAAGAATTTTGTAGCTGTGCATCCCTAATTTTGGGTATTATGTTTTAGAAAAAATGCGTATTATACAAATATTTTCTTACACTTTTCAAATAGTAAATAATCATATTAAAAATTATAGTAACCTAGTACGCACAATTTCATTTCGAACAATCTAGTAATCATTTTTTTTTAAAATAACTTTAATTATGATCATTAAGAAAAGTTGAAAAAGACTGACGGATTAAATGAAAAGTAGATTAACAAAAAAAATAAAGTTATATAATCCCATCTGTTGTATATTTGTATATTGTCATGATAAATAGTCTCACAAAGTGAATATGGTCTGATACCTGTTCTTGCCTAAAGAAGACTATAATAATCACACTTCACATATAAGACAAACAGAATGTATCCACTTATTGTTTATAACTTGTTTAAAAGCTAAATCCTGCCGAGGGATAATTGGGCCATCGGGCAAAAAATAAAGGGACCTCCGATCCAGCTTAGAAAAGAGCAATGATAATTTTGAAGAAATAACTTTAAAATCCTCACGCAATGAAACTTCAACCCCCACCCCTCTTTAGGTCTGATTCCGGCTATAAGTCCATTTCCGACCAAAAGACCGATTTGAGCGGAAACTCCGATGGAATCAACACGAAATGCAGGATCTGCAGAAAATATGATGAATCTGTCGACCAGATGTCCGGAACTAGCAAAAAATAAATATCTCGACAAACATAACAAGGTAGCGACATATGTGCACTGGAAGATATGCAAGAGGCACAAAACCGAAACCATTGAGAGATGGTATGAGCGCCAACCAGACACAGTTACCCAACATAACGATGTAAATATCCTCTGAGACATGCCAATTAAAACTGATACAGAATTAAAAAAACCAACAGACCTGATATTATCATAATAATAACAAGAAATTCTGGAAGTGTATGCTTATTGACATAGCAGTACCATCTTAGAGAAACACCTCCATGAAAATTATCGAGAAATTGTCAATACAAGAACCTGGAAATCGAGGTTAACAGGATGTGGGAAATGAAGACTGAGAATGTACCAATAGTAATCGGCGCTCTGAGCCTCCTGAGAAAAGGAATGGACAATTTTAATCACTGTTTTCCAAGTAACATCAACATACAAGTTGCCCAGAATATCGCCCTACTAGAAACATCACATATACTAAGAAAAGTGCTATCAGTTAAAAGACAATTCTTCGATAGGTCCTAAGGCCCATAGTTTGGACCCGGCTCTACAGTAAACATAACATTCACAAATACTACTACTAATACTACTACTACTACTAATAATAATAATAATGGAAATTCAAGTTTTTAAAGTAGTTCAGTTAAACAATAATACACCTACTGGAGCGGCAAAGAGCCTAAAAAATGTAAGCAAATGCAATGGACGAAATGCAGAAAGGATAGCAAGCCTCTTCATGATCAATACTCCGCCCGTACCAAACAAGCTGATGTGGCCAAACTCCGTGCCCATCAGTTGTTACGTATTGTAGGGTTAAAATTTGAAACTGGAGGTTTTATTATTGCTGCACAGGGCCAATGCTTTTCTAATTAGAATGTACCAATATACATACTGAAAAATCATGTTAACCCGAAATGCACATTCTATGATAAATATCCAGAAACAATTGACCGTATTATATCAGTTTGAACGGTATTAACACACACTGAATTATAAAACTTGTCATGACAATGTGGGCCAATATCTGACATTAGAATTTTTGCAAATTTTACGGGAAGGAAATTGGATCTGTAACAATTTAATAGAATTTTACAATACTCACAGTCAGAACAGTCAAAGCTAATCGACCAAACATCATTATCAAAACAAAACAAAAAAAGAAAAATGTACTTTCTTATTGACGTGGTAGTCCCAGCAGATTTAATGTAATTCTGAAGATCTCTAAAAAAAACTATCAAAGTACAATGATCGTGAAGTGGAAATCTCAAAAATGTGGCACATGAAGATATCAATAATGACAGTTGCAGATTGTAAAAGGTTCTGATAAACTCATTGAAGCGATCAGTGGAATCCTGGAAATACACAAATATGTTCTTACACTTCAGCTCACAAATTACGAAGGGATCTATCTATGTGGAATATGTGTGATCTTAGGATGTTTATTTATTTTTTTACAAATATGCTCAGTGGAAAATTTCATGATGCCATTTCTGAGCACAGGTTCCTGATTAGCACCCGTAAGGAAAGGATTATATAACAGAAGGGAAAATAGAAATAATGTAGCACATGGAAACGTCAACAATCCCTGTTATAGCTGGAAACCCTCGGATTAATTGAAAAAGATCCTAATAGACTCATTGAAGGGATTCTTGATAGCTTAGGCCTGAAAGAAAATATTGTACTCACAAGTACAGCTCACACCATACGAAGGGCACATCTATGTAAAATATGTGTGATGTTAGGTTTTTTTTTCTCAAAAACAACTAAGTGGAAAATGTCATGACGCCATTTCACACCTTAAATGTTTGGTTGCGACCCGGAAAGAAATAAGTATACACAAGATACAAAGGATGTAATAATAATAATAATAATAATAATAATAATAATAATAATAATAATAATAATAATCTATAGGAAACTCAGCCTTAAATTTGACTTGAGTATGAAAGAGGAATTGTATAAATATCAGATATCAAAATTAGTGCGAGAAAATGACAAGATATAGGATTTCCGGCCCACACAGATCATGCCATTTAAGCATGAGGACTGCAATCAATTGTTATAGATAAGTAGAGTAACGTGTGTCAAAATATTGACTTTGCTGTTTCATAATATACGATATTGAAAAGGATGCGAAATATCAGGATCTGGCAATGGAATTGAAAATCTATAAAACATCACTGTTGAAATAATTTCAGTAGGAATAGGTGCACTCGGAACACTGGCTAGAACATTGATAGAGCAATTAAGAAAAATTGGATTTGAATCCAACTTTGTAAACCTCCAGAAAACTGTAAATATTTAATGTGCGAATATCCTGCGAAAAGTTCTTTAGACGTACGTCAAGAACAGAATGTTCAGTTACTATGTGACACAACAACAACAACAACAACAATAATAATAATAATAATAATAATAATAATTTTCCATATGTTCTCTAATGAATATTACGTTAAATGTTCAGAAACCATAATATTTTACTATTACATCAAAATCAGTGGTCGCAAATTCTACTAAAGGACACAATGATTGATTTTTAGAGACTGTATTTCCATGCCGTTGACAGTGACGTTCACCGGCCAAGAAAATTTAAGATATGACCCGAAGCAACAATCCCTCATTGTACGTACGAACATCTTTTAATCGCCTCCACATATTCCAAAGGTGAGATATTATATTCAGGGTTTACACTCCAAATATTTGCAATAAATATTTAGTTCAATCAGTTCAAAGCTTCGCGTCTAAGACTCGCCATGTCACGCCCATTGTAGCGAACCACCTTCCTTCCCTTCGTATTCCATTGGTGAGATTTAAATTCCACTCTGAGATGATTCTTTCCACGAACCGCTGCTTTGCGGAACCGACTCCCAAGAGGATGCTTCCCCGATTACTACAATGTTAACCTGTTCATGTCTAGGGTCTACCGTAACATTCCCCATAAACAGTTCCTCTTAATATGTAACCCTCTAACTCGAGTCGTTATTGAGGCTTGTACAGGGTGAACATCATTGTAAAAAAATTCTCAAGCGATACCCATTTAATTACTGACCGGGTAATTAATAATTAACTGAACAATGGAATAATATTAAGGGAAATTCAAGATCTCGGATTTGAAAGGTTGGGACTCAATGCACATTTGAAAATTGATTATTCATTGGACATTTGGTATGGAAATATGAAAAACAAAAACAACAACAGCAACAACAACAACAATAATAATAATAATAATAATAATAATAATAATAATAATAATATCAACTACAAAAGCTTACAATTCTCTGGAATGTCAATGATTATACAGATAGGGAAATTCAAGCAAATCGTATAAAAATGAAAAAAAATCATGTTGAAAAGTTATGTCTTCTAATAAATGTTGCAGTAGCAGTCAACAAAAACATGTTTTTAAACGTATGAAAATCTATGAAAATACAATAACATCATGGGTTTGTCGGAACAACATTAAAAGGAGAAAACAAATATGTAGAACAAATTCCTGGTACACTATTCTCATTATTCGGACTATTGTCCTCATCTTTATCGCCATATTTATTACAACGTTTCGGCCGTTGTACACTCCGGCCTTTTTCAGGTGGTTGGAATGTCAAACTGAAGCATTTATTTCGCTCACTGGGGTAGACGGTTTTAGCTCCACGTGCCTTTTCTAATGGATGTCACTTATCAGTTATCCCCTGCTTAATTCTATCTCGAAGTTCTCCATGCCTTAACGAGGTATTGAACTCACACTCTTTGGGTCTTGTCACTGGATCTAACTAATGCCTTTATCCACTGTGTCATGTTACAAAAAGAAAAGGCAAAACAATAATAAGAATTTAAAATTTTAATTTTTTTGTCTTATCCTGTTTCCTCGATTCTAACAGCATATTAAAGGTATCATATACAGCCACATGTGTTAAAGAATTTTCAAAGAAGCCACCTTCTTTTAGGCAGCGCAGATGAAAGAAATGCTTGCTTCTCCAATGGATTCCAGAAAGCACTATCCTATGTTCTCATATTCTCTTCGAGACCAAAAGAAGAATTCCAAGTGTCTGGAATCTGAATGATGTATTAGGCATGTCAAAAGCCAGACAAATTATGAATTAATAGTTTTATTTTTATCACCATAAATGGACAACGTTAAACACCAGTCTAAATGTCTTCTTGTAAAGAAACAAGTAGAGATACAAGGTGGTGCTGAAGATTTCCAGCCCGACCAAAAATCAGAACAAATGAGCAAGGAAAGAAAGAACGAGAGAAAAAGGAGACAGGAAAGAAGAGAAAAATACTGAGAAAATGAAATGGTGATGATTTTGAACACTTCATTTTGTTTTTCATTTGTATTTTGCGACGTGCCGTAATGTACGAGGAGGTAGTAATGCCCTGGTTCAAGAAGGTAGCTGCTGAAAGATCCTATGTCTGGCAACAGGTCTCTACACCATGCCACACAAGCAGGAGATCTCCTTCATGGCTGTCAGGAAACATCTGCAACCACATCACTCCTTACATCTAGTCACTAACTTCCCACATTACACCCCACTTGATTATTAGTCGGACAATGACTAGTGACTAGTCATTGTCCGAGTTCAAATAAAAGTAATAGGTAAAGGAGAAGCCATAAATGCAAATTACAAACGGGAAATACTAAAATCAAACAAGTACAAAAATTTAAGTATCTGGGAAGTGATCTAACAGAGGACGGAAAGTGCAAATTTTCTAACAATTTTAATGTCGAATTCCATTTCGTCAGTTCGACGTCGAGCTTTGAATTCGCAAATAGTTCCATTTTCCTTTCTTTGAGTCTCGCTCAACTGCACCCCACACGTAATATTTAAGGGGGTGTAGTCTGGGGCGTTAGTGACTAGAGGTAAGTGATGATGATACAAAAATTATAAAAATCGTTAGTCATAGATAGAAATACATTTATCTACAACTTTGATCAAAATTGTTGAAAGAAAAAGTAACGTATTTTTGAAAGTATCACAATCGAAACATGACAAAATATAAACCGGCACGCCAAATCTTTTTTGAAATATCTCCTTTCCTAAAATAAATACTCCTTTCTCAAGCCAACATACGTGAACATTAAAGTCAACACTCAGAGACGACAAGCTGTTTCATGCTAGACGCAATCGTCGCGGTGGCCTGACGATTGCGTCCAGCATGAAACGGCCTGTCGCCTTTGAGTGTTGACTTCAATGTTCACTTTTATATTTATATTTACATACGCTCTATCTCTGATATTAAGAACTTTTTCACATAAATATAGCACATCTTAAAACTATATTTCTTCACATTTATTTATATATATATATATATGTGTGTGTGTGAAGAAAATATAGTATAAATATATATATATATATATATATATATATATATATATATACAAATATATATATACAAACACAAACATATATATATGCGTGTTTATATATATATATATATATATATATATATATATATATATATATATGATAAAATGATGAACAAATGTGAAACGTATATCAATCTAACACGTTTCACTTTTATTTACGCTTCGTCAAATACTGAGAGAAAACAGACATAAACTGCTTTCAGTTTTGTTTGAGTCAGTTCTCATTGGCCAGTCACGTGTCACCAATGAGAACTGATTGAAACAAAACTGAAAATACCAAAGGCTTTGTCCTTTTGCTATGTTTTATTTCAATCTCTGACGAAGTTTTAATAAAAGTGAAACATGTCAGATGTTTTTTCTTTTTTCTATTCGTTCTTTTTTTACAATCATACTGTCGGATTCCTATCCATATTTGATCTGCATTTGATTTTTTAACTCATATATATATATATATATATATATATATATATATATATATATATATATATATATATATTATTATTATTATTATTATTATTATTATTAATAATAATAATAATATATTCTTTTTCTTAATAATAATAATAATATAATTAATATCTATTCGATACACCTGTTTGAGTAGACATCGCTTTTCTTAAAAATTCTATAATTCTCGTGTACTAGCCTGTGTTTATTTTTTATTATTATTATTATTATTTTCTTTGATTTCTGGCGTTTACACATTTCTTTCCGGGTCCCGTCCAGGGACCTAAGGTTAGAAATGGCGTCATGACACTTTCCACTGACAAACAAAACCAAAAATAAATAAATAAATTACATAGATAAAGCCCTTCGTAAGGTGTGGGCTGTACTTGTCAGAACAATTTTTTGTATCTCCTTGAGGCATGGACTTCCAGGAATCCCTTCAATTAGTCTACTGCAACCTTTTCCAACCAGTCCTAGGGCTCCAACTACAACAGGGATTGTTGATGTTCCCATATGCCACATTTTCGAGATTTCTATTTCAAGGTCCTTGTATTTTGACAACTTTTTGAATATCTTCAAAGATACATTGCAGTCAGCAGGGACTGCCATGTCAATAAGGAGGCACCGTTTTTGTTATTATTATTATTATTCGTTAACTGTGTAGTTTTAATGTACCGGCCTAGTTTCATAGAGTCTTTAAACTACTTAAGACATACACCTTTATTTTTTATAGTATTTCAGTGATCATATCTGCTAATTTAATTCTCGTCTCTTAATATGACAAAAAGTTGTTTCTAAGGAACATTTATTTACGTCTACCAGCCTGTTTTCTTTTTAAAAATACGTTAATAAATTAAATATTCCCTTCGGTAAAGCACGAATCTGAAACTCACTTTTGTAGGGGAAACCATTTTATAGAGCACTCGGCTACGAAAGACTTAGCAATAAAGGTAGGCTCAGTTAACCTTGGAGTAGCTGAAATAGTTTTTTGTTTTTTGTTTTTTTCTGGTTTCTCGTTTTTTTTCAGCCTCTTTTTAGTTTCCTTTTATTTGCTCTACTGTAGTTTCTCATCTCCATAACTATTCGTTTTGTTTTTCACTTCCCTGTTTCGTTCTTTACTCTCGTTCCATCGTAACACAGTCTACACAATATCTGATTATTAGCTGTAGTAGTAGCCTGACTATCAGTCATGGCTTTTCCTTCCTTTTTGCAACTACTATTCGCCCTTGTCTTTTTAAATCCTACTCTGTAAACCCTAGTCAAACTGTTATATCTCAATAAGCGTCAGTACGACGTCCTTCTATTTTTGTCTTTTCCATTCGTTAAGCCCATAATTTTTCAAGACACTGGTTAATGGTAGCCCGTAAAGAGAACGATCCGACGCCAGAAGGGGTGATAATCCACTGGAGGTAAAGAGGAGAGGAGATGCTCGTTAGGGCCGGCTTTAGACTTTGGTGATAATTTGTTGGTGGCGCGGAGGCCAGAAAGGTAGGGTGCTTGGGTGTAAAGGTGAAAGTTCAGGGAATTTGATCCTTTACAAAAATAAACGAACCCCACTGAGTCACCTGTTTTTCTCTTCTTTTTTTTTATTCTTTTTTACTTGAAAGAAGCGAATAATTGGCTGATAAATAATAAAAAAAAAAAAATAAATACTGAACGACAAAGAAAATGTGTAAAATAAGTACAAAACCCAAAGGTGAAAGGAAAGGAAGTCAAATGGGGACGATAAAAATTACAATGAAATATAAGAGGAAGACGACCAGAGAAAGACCAGATGAATTTAATTCCGAAAATAATATTTCTAAATAATTAATGTTAAAATAAGTAACGTGGTTTAATTTACATAATCCTAATATTTTGATATTTATTTACATCATCCACAGTGAAGGAATTGGCATTTTATATCAGTGTGTACGAAAATACGAATAAGAAAAAAAAAACTAGGAAATCAGACATGACTTAATGAAGAGTTACAAATAATTGGCACAAAATAGAAACAAGAACAATAGGAAAAGAACTGTGAGGTTTTTTGATACTATATTTTCACAGACCACACAATTAAGTCTGCCTGAACCGATCCATTTTTAAGCTACTTCCTAATTAGCCAATACTGTGACCGCAAACCACCGCCTGACTATGGATTTTAAGTGACTTAAACGAGTTGGTGAGAAGTATTTAAAAATTGCTAATCTACTAGAATATTCACGAAAAACATCGTTAAGAATTGCAAAGGAAAAGGTTAGAAAAGAAAAAAAAACAATTCTAATAAGTAATAATTCTGCAGACAGAAATTTATTATTGATTAAATAGTTCGGGAAAAAATTGCAAAAATGCCCAGATAACAAAAGTGTGGTCCGAAAGTTTTGTCAACGACGTACGAAAAAATAATGAGAACTATAGACGAACAAGTAATACAGTAAAACAAAGCTCATATACTGGATTCAGTTGGGCACTTCAAGGCGATGTAATGGTTAGCAAGATTGACACGCCAGAACAATTACGACTGAGTAGCGAGTTCGATCCTCAGTGGGTGCCCCTTACTTTCGGCCTTGTGCCGCATCTAAGCTACGCTTGGTAAATCGCTATACTGGATTCAGTTTATTCACTTTCATTGACGCTGTCACACATCTGTATGGACACCATTATTTTTGTGCCAACTATCTTAAATAGTTAATTCTGTTATATTAATTATATTATATACAGATGACAAGACTTTCAAAACACGCTGTAGATGATTATTGATGTCATTATTATTTATTAATATTATTTTCAGTCAAAGTCTCTGGCTTGTAGCGGTACCATTTTCTCATCTTCATACTTCATAGACGTCAATATACATGGTGATCCGAAAGTCTTGTCACACCCTACCAAAATGTAATGAGAACAAGTAATACAGTAATACAAAGCACATGTACTGGATTCAGGTATATTCACAATTATTGACGCTGTCACACATCGAGAACGTCTGTATGAACATCGTCATTGTCGTGTCAGCCATCTGAAATAGAAAATTATATAGGGATGGCAAGATTTTGAGATCTTTTTTTCAACAGAGGTATGCAAATGACCATCCCTGAAAGCAGAAGACGTCGAAACCTTGAAGCGGATATAATGTAACAGCAGAAGACGATGCGGTTGCTACTCCTGTAAGATAAGAACTAGAAAATGATGCTACGATTCGCTAAGAATAAGATATTGAATGAAAAAAAAAGATTAGAAAAAGGTTCCTATTTTTTTGAATTTCAATTGATGATTCGTGATGGCATGAATCTATTCTGCTTTCTGTTAACGGTTCAAGTTGCTGGAGATTGTGTAAAGTCATGAAGAATATTCAATTGGCATACTTTGGGACATTAGTATCAATAAAATATCATTTAAATATCACAACCTACTGAAGTACTGTGGCTGAACCTTTGTCTCCATTACGCTGCACCTATCATCTGGTGGTTAATTTCAGGAAGGACATG